GCTTCAAGATTGTTTCTTTTGTTTTCGACTTTATATAATTTTACTATAGTGTTCCTTGGTATGGACTTACTTTTACCTTAAAAAATGCAGCTTGGTACTTGAAATGAACTTTTTTTTTTTTAAACATCTTTATTGGAGTATAATTGCTTTACAGTGGTGTGTTAGTTTCTGCTTTATAACAAAGTGGGTCAGTTATACATAAACATATGTCCCCATATCTCCTCCCTCTTCTGTCTCCCTCCCTCCCACCCTCCCTATCCCACCCCTCTAGGTGGTCACAAAGCACCAAGCTGATCTCCCTGTGCTATGTGGCTGCTTCCCACTAGCTATCTATTTTACGTTTGGTAGTGTATATATGTCCATGCCACTCTCTCACTTTGTCACAGCTTACTCTTCCCCCTCCCCATATCCTCAAGTCCATTCTCTAGTAGGTCTGCGTCTTTATTCTCATCTTGCCCCTAGGTTCTTCATGACCATTTTTTTTTTTTAGATTCCATATATATGTGTTAGCCTACAGTATTTGTTTTTCTCTTTCTGACTTACTTCACTCTGTATGACAGACTCTAGGCCCATCCACCTCACTACAAATAACTCAATTTCATTTCTTTTTATGGCTGAGTAATATTCCATTGCACATATGTGCCACCTCTTCTTTATCCATTCACCTGTTGATGGACACTTAGGTTGCTTCCATGTCCTGGCTATTGTAAATAGAGCTGCAATTGAAATGAACTTTTAAACTGGAAATTCATGTCTCCCTTTAAGTCTAGAAAACTCTCAATAATTATTTCTTCAAATATATGCTGTCATTATTTCTGCCATTCATTATTTCCAAATCTCCTGTTAGACAAATTTTGGTGTTTCTCAGTCTATCCTTCATGTCTCTTAAATGTTCTTTTGTATTTAAAAAAAATCTTTCTTTGCTTTTATTAAAATCTCTTTATATTTTTTCTTTAAAAAACCTTAGTATACCTTCCAGTTCACTCATTTCTTGTTACTGTGTTAACTCTAAATTTTATCCTTTTTATTTTTTATTTAAATAAATAATTTTATTTTCAAATATTTTAAATTAATTCATATTCTATTAACCTTTTCTAGTCTAATTCCTATCTGTATTTTTTTTCAAATTTTTGTATTTTTTATGGAAGTCATGTCTTACTTTTATTTCACTGGCCACAATAAAATGCTTTTTTTATACTTTTTAAAAATGCTTGTGTGGGGGCTTCCCTGGTGGCGCAGTGGTTGAGAGTCTGCCTGCCGATGCAGGGGACACAGGTTCATGCCACAGTTTGGGAAGATCCCACATGCCGCGGAGCGGCTGGGCCCATGAGCCATGGCTGCCGAGCCTGCGTGTCTGGAGCCTGTGGTCCGCAACGGGAGAGGCCACAACAGTGAGAGGCCCATGTACCACAAAAAAAAAAAAAATGTGTGAAATTAATTTTCGCTGCAGTAAATTCATGTTCTACTTATCTTTTTTGGTATTATATTTCTAAGTGTATTTTAACATTTTTGTTTGTAAATTCATTTTAAGTGGAGGCTATTTGCCTTTGTTTTTATTTATAATTTTTTCTCTCTCTTTCCCTCTGTGCTTATTCCAAATGGCCAGGTGATTCTGCATTTGTTTCCACAGTTCTTCCAGTCCCCCTTTCCGTAACCAGACCTTATAATTCCAGTTGAGGTTTTCTACTGCCTTGTGGGTTATTGGGAAGGTTGCAGATTCAAGCGCAGAGACATCAAGCCAGTTTTTTTTAGATTCTGATGGAAAGGGTCTCTCCATATTTCCTTTTGCCTGTCTAGCTTGTGTGTGTGTGCCTGTGTATGTTTTAGTTCATTTCTCATATAAAAAATAGATTTGTTTTTCCTCACCTGCCATCATAGTTGAGGTTGGCAGGAGAAGTCCAAACTCAGTCCCTGGTTTCAAGACCCTAGCCTAGCTTCAGCCCTGTTTTACGTAGAATGTTTTCAGTCACCTTTGGTCCATATAGCCATACTCTAGGTATCTCTTCCTGCTTCTAGTTATAGAGTCATTTCTTCCTTGACAGCTGCTTAACATTTTCCAGGTCTTTTATCTTAGGCATGAATTTTTTTTTTTTTACTTCACTTGGGTCAATTTTGTTTTTGTTTTTTGTTGTTGGTTTTTTGTTTGTTTGTTTTTAATTTTATCTAGCATTGCTATGTTTGGAGCAAATGAGGTTTCCGGGCATAAACTTTATTCATGGGGTAACCTCCAAAAGTCAAGATACAAGGGCATAGCACAAATAATAAACTCAATGATTAAAATCTTAGTAGGCACAAAGGAAATAATGTAGTGGTAAAGTATGACTTTTGTCATTTCACTGGAAGGTTTCCATATACATATATATATGTATGTAGTGTTAAGTCTTCCCTAAAGAATATGGAAATGAGAATTGTTTACTCCACCATAATAGTCAGCAACAGTAATATTTATGGAGAACTTACTATGTACCAGGCAGTGTTCTAAGTGTCTAAAATGAGTTAATGCACTTAATCCTCACAACAAGATTAGGTACAGATCTCATCATTAGCCTTCTTTTAAGCATGAAAAAAATGAGGCACACAATGGTTAAGTACCTTGCAAATGTCACGTAGCTAGTAAATGATAGAGCTGATATTTGAGCATGTGTAAGCTAGGGTCTATATTCTTAACTAGTGTTCTGTGCTGCCTTTCACTGGCTGTGATGGACAACTGGACACATTGTAAGGTCGCCCACAGTGATTCACAAACTTGTCCTCTTGAGTGAGAGCAAGACTTACGACTTGCTTCTAACCAATAGAATATGGCAAAGATGATGGGATGTCACTCCTATGATGATGTTGCCTTACATAAGGCACTGTCTTAGTGGACTGGAGCAGTAGACTCCTCTGTTGACTTTAAATAAGCAAGCTGATATGATGTGAACTGTCTATGGAGCAGGACCACATAGAAGGGAACTGTAGATAACCTCTAGGAGATTACAGCCTCAGTCCTACAACTAAAAGGAACTGAATTCTGCCAACAACTATTTTATCTTGGAAGAGACCATGAGCCTCAGAGGTGTCCAGTAGACACCTTGATTGCAGCCTATTAGACCCTGAGCAAGGAACCAAGTTAGCCTGTGCTCAGACTTCTGACACAAAGAAACTGAAATAATAAATGTGTATTGTTTAAGCCACTATTTGTTGTAATTTCTTATGCAGCAATAGAAAATGAATACAGCAATGTGGATATGATGATGTTTTCCTTTTCTAGAGCTATATTTGTCCTCTATTGTTCCCATGACTATATAAGTTATTGTTATTGTTATTCTTTATTGTTATTGTTATTTTATTATCATCATAATGTTGAAAACAGTAGGTGTTACACAGCATTGTAACAGAGCTGAAAAACACTAAGTCTCTATTCTTTCTCACAGGGCAATGTTATTCAATGCAAAAATTCTTAGGATATGAGCTTAAAAGGAGAGTAAAATAGAAATAAGCACACTTTATGGTACTAAAACTTTTCAAGTTTATTTTAAAGCTACCTCAAAGGAAAAAAGTATGCTTTGAAAATAAGGTCTGCTAAAGTGCCCCCAAATACTTGCACAAATAAGAACACCCACAGAGAACTAAAACCCATATTATACACAGAAAGGGTCATCTGCCAGCATCAACAAATTAATGACTTGTATAAGGAATTTCTTAGTGAGAGTGGATGTAAGGGTGGGATCATGTCATCTGTTTTGTTAATGATGTTGCAGCAGTGAGCATATTCAAATGCCTTGGCTCTGAATATAGTGTCACTTAATGAGCATAATCATAGCATGCGACGTATTGCCTCAACTCAGAAATGTGTATGCAACACACAGCTCCAATCTTTCGACAGCTTTAAAGAGCCCTCACAAACTACAACTGGTCACCTCCTCTCTGATCCTCGCAGACACATATAAAGCAGTGCTGGGGTTAGGTGTGTGCATGCAGGCATATTTTATCACCATTTTCCAGCATTTTATTTGTATAAACTGTATCTGATAAAATGTATCAGCATTTTATTTGTATAAAGTCCTTGTGTTACACCCATTTTCATTAACCTTGTATCTCAGTCTTAGCCCAAAGGTGGCAGTTAAAAAAACAACCCCCCTTATATGATGTATGGATATGTCTATACAACTTGTAATGTTTAATTAAAATAAATTGTTATCAACAGACATCATCTTTCTGCAACCATGTATGAGGAGCTTTATCTGTTGAAAATTAACTGTAGATTGACTTGACTTTTAAAGGCAGTATGTGAGTTTCTCATTAGCCTTATTATCATTTCTGAATCATAAATATGTAAATGATGAGTTTCACACGGGAGATTTAATTTTGCACTCTTATTTCTGATTAGCTGGAAATACACTCTGGCTCTGTCAGATAATTGGTAACACTGCACACCAATAAGGCATTTCCCTACGCTTCATCAGAAGCAGTTGAAATTAAAGAAGGCAGGGCTGTTACGTTTTTGACAGTTTTGTAATACCAACTTGTTAAAGTTTTAACTCAGCCATTAATGTAGTCCATGAATTATTAATACAATTTTTATGTCAAGGTTTTTTTTTAAAGTTGAGATCTAAGACTAAAGTAAAATGCTCTGGAAAAGAGAATGCTTTCATTTTTTCATTATATTTTTAAAAACATTCTACATTAAACAATAAACACCAACTCAATTTGAGTCAAGGGGGAAAAAAGCATTGACCCCTTGCTGTGAACCCTCTACTCCCTAGCTCTTTGTGCCAAAATATTTGTAAACCTCTAAGTGTTTGGCACTAGATGAACTTTTACTACTTTAATATATGATGTTTTGTATTAAACACAGGCAACTTAGAGTTTTTTAAAAATAGGAATTACACGAGAGAAAAACCTTTTATCAGTTTTTCACAAGTTGCCTAATCATTCTAGAAGAAAAGCGTTTCATTTTGCTTCAACCTAGAGAACCTAAGCAATTTTCATTCATAAAGAATCCATTTTTTTCCTGACAGGGTGATGCTTATACCCCCCAACAAGATAATGAACTCCTATGGGTAAGAAGTAACTCTCTTTATCTGTACTCTGTGCATTGAATATCTGTTTACTAGAGAAATAAGTTGTCACTTAAAGAAAAATAATATTTCAAAGTATGCAAGTCATAATCTTTAGTGGAAATTTACGTGAACTTTTAAAATATGTAACAACTGGCCATACTTAAACTTAGTAGACAAATTAGTTAAAGGGACAATCTTTGGATGGCTATTATCATTATATTTCTGTTTCAAAAATTAATATCAATATATTTATGAAGATTTGTACTATATTTGATCATAAGAAATTTCAAAACAATTCTGTTTCCTTTAAAGTTTTCCTACGGAATGCATTCCTTATTATCATCTTTACTTCATAATGGATAAAATCAAGGTGTAGAATGACTAAGTAAGAACTTCAGTAGATAAACTAGAAAGGCACCCCAAATGCCCTCCTTCCAATGGGCAGCATTCATGTTATTGATATTGCGTTCATTCAACCTCATTCCTCCTAGCAGCTTTTCTTGATTTTCACCACTTTCTTTCAGAGCTGATCACTACACAGCAACTTACTTCAGAGTAAGATCAGTTTCCTATTTTGAGTCCAAAGCAAAGAGTATTCCAATGCCAATTAAAACACTAATATTTAAAAATCAATACATATTTTCCTAGTGTAGGTTCATTTTCTTTTCAATAAAACTCATCTATTTTTAAGAAGAATATGTTTAGAGTTGAATGAATAACATCTGTAGTATAGGTAAAAGATCACACAGTTACTTCCGTAGGCCTTCATTCTGGCCTCTCTAAATCTAATTAATTCACAGCTGATCTTTCAGCATAAGTAAATTTTCCCTTAAAAAGATAAGTGAGCTATTACATGGAAAACAAGATTTGGTGTGAAATTTAATTCCAATTGTCAGCACACATGATTGAATGTAGTACGTTGTGCTTAATCAATCTTGTACTCATGTGCATCCACACATTTGTTGATTCTACAGTAAGTTATGAAACAAAACAAAACCAACAGACAATGTGCTGAATATTACAAAATTGAGAAACAGCTAAATATGTAAAATGCTATATCCAAGACATGTAAATCAGTCCTATGAGGACTAAATAGAAAGCAAGACATAGTAAAATTTCCACTGAGATTGGAGTGTGTATGTTAGATGTGAAGGAATTGGTCTATGACTATGAAAATATGATACTAGATATTCTTGGTAATTAGAAATGAATGCTCACTGCTGATCTGAGACCTGAGCTCAGGTGCACTTATCTTCACACAGGAACCAACCATATAACATAGAGTGAAATGAGAAATGAGCTATCAATTCCCAACTCAATTATCAGCCATCATGAGCTGAAGAGTAAGGCAGCATAACACCACAATTAACCACGTGGACTGTGGGCCCAAATAGGCCTAAATTCGAATTCTGGTTTCATCATTACCTGGGCACAATACCTTTGAACTTCAGTGTCCTTACTAATAAGACAGGGAAATGAGATCTTCTTCATATATTCTATAGGATTAAGTGAGATAATGTAAGGCTTGTTACATAATAAGCATACTCATTGCTTATCATGAGACTTTTTTCTTTAATTTCTTTTTCCTGATTATCAAAGAAATACTTGTAAAAATGAAATACTTGTAAAAATTCAAACACAGAATATCTCTCTCCATATATATACATATTTATATATATATAATTTCAATATATATAGTTAATTCATACTGCAATTAGCCTAAAATCTTACCCTTTGAAGAAAAGCAATATCGACAGTATAATTTTCCAGATTTTTTTTTCACACTGACTAGTTTAAGTATTTCACTTTTGGAAGGCATTGCTCTGAAAGCTAGAAAATTTAAAGAAATTATCAATTTTAGGATTTTAAGGGATCAAAAAAATAGCACTATTCTTCCCATCATAAGGCCTGACTCAATTAAATGATAAACCACAAGAACAAATCAGACAGAATATATATATCAGCTTTATTGGTGCTAAAGTTGGTATTGCCTAAACAATAACACTTGTTTATTCTATTTGGTACCATCGCTCATTCTCAAAAGTCTCTGAGTACAGACAACAACATATATGGTCACCCCCATAAATTTTATATTGAAGAATGTTGACTAGATATGGGACAATATTTGACTTCCTAATAAGAAACCCCATAATTAAACAGACATGTCTATACAGTCACAGGCAGTAATGTATCACCACAGGCCTTCCCAGGTAGCATGGCTTATTCTGACAAATGCCGTCAAGGAGGAGCAGAGCAGAATGCTTCCTGCTGTCCTCCTGGCTCTTTAGAGAAATGGGGCAGAAAGGCTGTGTGAAGCATCCCTGACATGTTTCCCTAAGCTACCAATCTGGTCACCCATTCACCATTTATAGGTAGGAGGAATAGCCCGGGCACCAACCCAATAGGGTTTTACTGTTGCATGGTAATCAGTGTAGAAACACAAGTTGTCAAAAAAGAAGTGACTGCCTCCTGAAAAAATGAATCTGGCTTTCTGTCACAGAGAGGTCACTCAGTGAAAGCCTGAAGGAGCCCAATATAAATACAGTTAGATAGATGGAAAGAAAGGATAAACAGCAGTTACCTCCTTTACCTCGTGACACTTGAGGATTTGTCCTTTGATTGAATACTCCTTTTAATGATAATTCAAGGAACTTTTTGGAATATACTAAGATCCCAGAAAAATGAGAAGTCCAAAGTAGCATGTACAGGATCTCCAAACACCTGAAACTTGTTGCCCAGATCGTTTATTGAGTAATGATATTTATGAAATGTGGTTGTACTAGTAAATGGAAGTTAATCATGTATTCCTCAAGAGACTACATAACTATAAGGCACAAAAGCTGACGTCACCATAGATCTGTTAGCATCCCTGAACTGAGGTGGTTGATACCCAAAGAGTCTAGAATTTTGTATCCATGCGGATCCCAAATGCAAAGTGGTTGAAGTGGATGGGACATTCAAAAGTCTCATGGAAGGGAATTCAGATCTCAGCTCCACTATGGAGTTGTCTCTTGTTTTGTTTTTCTACTGCTGTGTATCAAAACTTAGTGGTTTAAATCAGCACCATTTATTTGCCATCTGGACAGGGCAGGAGGAAAGCCCAACTTTGCTCCTTGTAGCATCAGCCTGGACAGCTCAACTGGGGATGGAGTATTGACATTCACATGGCTGATGCTAATATTCCCCAGAAACTCAGCTGGGGCTATGGTCTTGGCACCTTGATTCATGACATGAAGCTATCCATGTAGCTTCTTAGCAGTCACGTCACAGTAAGGAAGAAGCATAAACTGCCAGGCTTTCATGATGCTTAGACTCAAAATCCCAGAATACCAGAAAGCAGTTAAAGGTTCAGCCCAATTCAAGGAGAAAGGATATATCTCCACCTCTTGATTGGAGAAATGGTATGTACATAGAGGGAGGGAAATAATTTGTGGAATGAAGGGAGAATCGTTGGTCTCTAGGTAAGCAGGGTTTATTGCGTTGCCTGTTTTATGTCCTTTCTTAACACAAGGTAATCTTGCTGCTGGGGGAACTGAATCTTTACTCATGAATCCAAAATCAAGACCATTGCTGTTGGCTGAATAGAGTGGATGTTGCAATAGATACATTTGCTTGAATACATCAGTGTCATTACATATATGCTGTTGTGTATCCTTTTTATTTACTTAATATTATATTTTCAGCAACCTTCTCTGACATCAAATGTTTTAAAAGACATACTGTTCAAGTTCTGGGTAGTATTTCTTTAGCTGACGTATTCAAGTTTCTTGACCATTGTTATTGTTGGATATTTGGTGTGCTTTTACTTTTTTATAAATAAGTATTTAATGATGCCGTTGTTATATAAATATTGGTACATACCTGGGTTATATAAATCCCTAGAAGTAGAATTGCTGGGTCAAATATGTTTAAGGTGTGTTGTGAGTTAGCTTGACAAAATTTCTTCCAGAAATGTTTTCCATTTTATTGGTTTTTTCAACCAATCTTGGATTTATGATTTTAAAAGTCTTGTCAGTACTTGCAAATGCCATCTCATTTGTTTTGGTTTGTGTTTTCCTGATGCCTTGAATATTGTATTACTTGTTAAGCACATTTACTTTTTTTTTTTTTTTTTTTTCCTTTTTTGTGGTACGTGGGCCTCTCACTGTTGTGGCCTCTCCCGTTGCGGAGCACAGGCTCCGGACGCGCAGGCTCAGCGGCCATGGCTCACGGGCCTAGCCACTCTGCGGCATGTGGGATCTTCCCGGACCGGGGCACGAACCCGCATCCCCTGCATCGTCAGGCGGACTCTCAACCACTGCGCCACCAGGGAAGCCCCACATTTACTTTTTCTAAACATCTTTCATCTTTTTCCAAATATGATAAGTTATCATTTGTTTTCACTTTATTCTAGAAGATACCTTCTAAATTTTAAAAGTCAGTGATATAAACAACACAAGATGGATTTACAATACAAGCATCTTGCGTATCATGGCTTGTTCTTCCCTTCCCTTAACTCATGGATAAACACCTACACCTCCTGTAAAACTCAGCTCAACTATCCTCTTACCTGGGCTGACTTCTCTGAGTAGGAGCGTGAACTTCTTTCTCTGTGCATCCATTGTGTTCCATGCATACTATTACAGACTTTTCTTAGCATATTGTAACTATTCCTTTCTCTTACCAGACTGAGATTCTTCATTAAAATTCAACAAAATTTGGGTACCTACTTTATAAATAGCATGCTAAGTACTTAGATTACAAAGGTAAGAATATATTTTCTCATTTATGGACAAAATAGACACCATATCTTTTTCTTGTATCTTCCATTGCTTTCCTTGAATATAGTAATAGTAATTGTAAAATGTTGCTCAATATTGAATAAACGAATTACCAGAAAATAAAAATAACTCAACCTCAAGCCGTTTTCAGAAGGTCCTTTTCTAGAAGGATTAACAAAGAATTGTAGTCAAGCCTGAATCCGCATAGCTTAGCCTATCAAGTTTTTAAATGTTTCTTTT